GATAATATTGGGTTAAGTCCCAATCAGCCTAGTACATGACTCGTGTAACATGCCCAAGTTCTGTCAACTCCGTTCCTTCAGATTCCAAAATACTGCAAGTCTGGTAATTTAAGGGAAATTTGCTATGGTGATCCGTCAGTTAGGATCCAGAGCCAAACACTATCTGCCCCACAAAGCAGGAACAGAGCCAGAATTGTCCACTGCTGTCAAGGTGTTCTCCTATCAACAAATTCCAAAAACAATCCACAAGATAAATTTCTGTTTATCACAAAGATACTAGTAAAGTTAGAGTACATAGGTTTAAATGTGTTATGTTTTTTAAGGGGGATACCAACAAAAAACAGTTATAGGTATCAGGTTTACCCTCGTGTGGAAATAACAGGGAGTAACTGCTTTCAGACATTAGATGACAAATAGCTTGGAGGAGGACAAACATGAGGTGAATTCCACATTCCCTCTAGCTTTCAACTTGAAAGTACTTTCCAAATCATAGCACGGAGAAGTAAAGACTAAATAAAGAACAAAAGTCTCACTGGGCAGGAAAAAAAAAAACAAAAATGCACACATACACACAAAACCCTAGAGCTGTTCAGGTAGACAGAATTCACTGGGCAAAGCACCAAAGAGCAGGCAGCTGAGAAGGGAAGGAGCCCCAGGAATCCACATAAGGGTCCCTTTCAGTCCGTGTTTTAGTACTAAACTGCAGAAGTTCAGGCAGGACTCATGTATCCTGGCAGAAAACAGCTGCAGGTGAGGGATATGGTGGCTGGAGACGAATAGTGATTCTATCTTGGATAGTGGTTGGAAATATAGAAGCTCTGGTCACCCAGAATGGGAAACCTGCAGACCACCCTGAACACTCAGTTGATACGTGAGAAAAGCATTAGGAGGAAAGTTATTCTCCACTTAGAGTAAGAAACAGTAGACCTATCTTATCAAGGATTAAAATAAAGCTTGGCAAGATCGAACTGATATGCCAGTAAATTAACCATCTGCCAGATAAAAAGTCATCACTCTTTGAAGGAAGATAACAAAATCAAGGCTCCCAGCAATGTGGCATTGACAATGTTCAGAAT